GAGAGGGGGGAGAAGAGGGGGGAGAGGGGAGGGAGAAATTAGGGTTTACGGAGGAGTGGTTTGGGGGGTTTAGGGGTTCTGTAGGGGTTTTTAGGGTTTTGTAGGGGTTTAGGGTTTAGGGTTTAGGGTTTAGGGTTTAGGGTTTGTGTGGGTGTTTAGAATAACCTGATGATGCATGAGACGGCTGTGGTGGCGATTGCTTTTAGTAGAGACAGCGAAGCTCTTGCAACAGGTACTAAACCCTAAACCCTAAACCCTAAACCCTAATGCGAGTCTGATGGTAGCATACAGCTCAGGGATCTAGGGTTTAGGGTTTAGGGTTTAGGGTTTAGGGTTTGTGGTTGCAGGGAGCCAAACAGGACAGCTGAAAGTTTGGTTGGTGGCGACGGGGCAGTGTATAAAGAAGATAGACAAAGCTCACGATGCAGGTACACCTAAACCCTAAACCCTAAACCCTAATTTCTAAACCCTAAACCCTAAACCCTAAACCGCGACTTGTGAATTCACTTTTGGTTTGTCTAGCGGATGCCTTTTGGCTTTGATCTGATGTACAGATGATTTTACATGAAAAATTAGGGTTTAGGGTTTAGGGTTTAGGGTTTATAGAATGGGGTGTTCTTCTTGTATCTAGGGTTTAGGGTTTAGGGTTTAGGGTTTAGGGTTTAGGGTTTTGGTTTTTTTCCTTCTCATTAAGCATTTTAATAGTATGATAATTAATCTTTTTAATTAATTTATTTTATTTATTTATTTAATTTAATTTATATATTTATTTATTTATTTATTTATATTATTTTATTTTTATTTATTTATATTTTTTTTTATTTTTTTTTTATTTTTTTTATCAGCAATAGCTTCTATCACCTTCAGTAAAGATAACACCCACATCCTCACGGGCTCCTTCGATACCACTGCAAGGTACGTAGGGTTTAGGGTTTAGGGTTTAGGGTTTAGGGTTTAGGGTTTAGGGTTTGTGGTGTATATACAAAACATCAGGATAAATGTGTGGTTTAAAATTGAGGGTTTAGGGTTTAGGGTTTAGGGTTTGTGGTGGTGGTGTGTATCCACGACTCAGACGGTATCTTCCCTAGGGTTTAGGGTTTAGGGTTTAGGGTTTAGGGTTTAGGGTTTAGGGTTTGTGTATAGGATTCATGGCCTGAAGGCAGGCAAAACCCTCAAAGAGTTTAGGGGTCATCTTACGTTTGTAAATTGCGCTTTATATCTCCCCGACAACACAAAGATTATAACAGGTTCTAAACCCTAAACCCTAATAAACCCTAAACCCTCATAAACCCTAATAAACCCTAAACCCTAGATTTTATATAGACTCTAAATACTATACTATATAAACCCTAAACCCTTAAACAAATTATAAACCCTATTTATTGCATCTAGAGAGAGGTTATTACGAGGGTTTGAACGCGAAATACTCTACAAAATATCTAGGGTTTAGGGTTTAGGGTTTAGGGTTTAGGGTTTAGGGTTTTGTGGTGTATAGGGAGCGCCGACGGAAAGATAAAAATTTGGGACTCTAAGACCCAGGACTGTCTCTCTACATTTACTCCTTTTATC